ACTATGACCAAAAATATTCGAAATTATGGGAGAAAGACAAGGAATTTGCAGGTTGGCTTCAAGAAATTACTAAGGGTGACTGATATTTTTATTGCAAATCATGTAGGTGTGATCTGAAGCGTGCTCTGCATTGCATTGCATGCATTTTTAATCTAAAAAAATCTTCTAAATTGAGGTGGTAGATCTACCAATTTTGCATTTTACATTCTACCAACTTCTACCAACATTTGGCACATAATCTACTAATTTTCCAAAATTCGGGTTGGCAGCACTGCCGCGTACACAAAGCACACGACGACGGGCAGAGGCGGTCAGTTCAGAACGTTCATTCTACAAGCGCGTGGCGCGGACTGAGCTGACCGTCCCGCGCCGCCGTCTGCGTTACTGCATATAAACTGGTTTGTATGATCCACGGCGGGCAGCCGCGGACATGCCGCGCCGCCACTGCCCGCCGGGCACCTGCGGCGAGGTCTTTTTGCCCTCTGTGTGCGTTTGAAGTATAGGATTCACTTTGTGCTATTATTCGCGGCGAAATTGACCGGCCCGCCCCGCCCCGTCGTCTGCTAAGCGCCTAACTGTTAAGAGCCGACCACTATGTTGGTGCACCTACTTATGTACGCCTACGACCATGTCAGTCCGGTATCTCGAGAATTGAGGGTTGGCTGTTCCGTATTCAAGCGTTGTTTTTTCTTTTGGTATATTTTACATGGTTTATACATTTTTACTTATGCGCTTACCACACGCACAAGCTTCATCACAGTTTGGCCTGCGCAAGCATCTCGCACGAAAAAACTGTACACTTTGTGCGTTTCCACACGGCACAGTTAAGTACGCGCAAGCCTCATTCTTATCGAAATCCCTGGCGTGGAAACAATGTTTCCTTATGAAGAAACATTTCTTATGCTACTATTTTTCAAGTCTATTAAAAAAACATGTAAAAACAATAGGATATGTACATAATATGTGCAAGTAGGTAGGTAGTAGGTATTAGGCATAGGTATTTAGTTGCAAAAATTATGTTCTTACCTCTTTAATTTTATTTATCATTCTTTCGTAGGCGTTATTTCGGTCGGAATAATCTCTAGATTTAATTTTCCGGAGTGCAGGCAGAGATTTGTATAAACTAATAAATTCAGACGTGAATTCGCGATTGTACGTACGCAAATCTGCCATTTTTGAGTGACGATGACGAACGACCTCATAAAACGACGAGCGAGCCTCGACACAAAGTACACTCGACTGTGGCTTGAACACTGAACGCCCAACCACACGCACAGACAAGTACGCGCAGGCCGGGCTTGCGCAGGCAAAATTTCAAGCAAGTCGAAAAATGCGCAGGCCGCGCTGTGGGGTTGGCACGTGATACAGTTTTACCAACTACACGCACCGTGTTCCGTGTACAAACCGGCCTGCGCAGGCAAAACTGTGGTGAAGCTAGTGCGTGTGGTAGGCCCATTAGATATATATCAACTTGACCTGGCCCTGGACTTAGTTTATTTAACATGTTGAGTAAATCCATGATTCCGACATCTAAGTAACTTCATGTTATTAATGGGTATTGCGATGGCGCTGCCATTGCACTACGAATACCTTTTTTTAAGAAACTTCTAATCATTTAATCACGGCTAAATTATAAACTATGTTATGCATGTTATGTACCTACTAATACGGAAGCATATATTTAACCAATTTTGATGAATTTTAGTATTGAAATACAGGGGCCGATAAGAATATAGCCAAAGGACGTAAATAGAGATTGATATTTATAGTTTGTATGGAAAACATTGTAACATTTGATAAGTCTCAGAACATGCAGTGAAGATACTTTCCAAACTACTAAGTTACTTTATAGTATAAACCAGTGGTTCTCAAACTTTTTAAATGACGGAACCCTTTTGGGAAGCAAAATACTTGATGGAACCCTACAATAAAACAATTATTTTTATAAGTGTATTCTATATTAATCAGCATAATAAAAGTACAATGTATCCGTTACTAATTATTATTTACTTCACCACTTGGTAAGGACAATAATAGAAAACATTAAAAAAGAAAAAATCTAACTAGTGGGAGGTATGAAACTGTTTTTTATTTTTCATCAATTGCTTGATATCAGGTTTGATGGAAGAAAGTTGGAGTCTCATATCAGCTTCGGCGTCCAGTCTATTGCGATATTTTGTTTTCGTGGCTGCGTAGGTAGAGAATCCTGTTTCGCACAAATATGTAGTTGGGAACGGGAGAAGAATATCCAGAGCCATTTGGCCAAGCATTGCATATTCATCTTGGATTCTGCACCAAAAATCATTAAGAGGCGTCGTTTTGAACAATGACTCCATACTTGTGTCTGATGACATTTCTAAAAGAGATTCATATATCTCATTTGACATGTTTTCAGGCTTTTCCAAGTTGGGTAAAAAAGGATTATGAATCCAGGAGTTCACTTTAATTTTTGTATTGTGTTCTTCGGGAAAATACTTTTCAAAAGATGCGCGCATCGAACTGAGATATTGGACCAATTCTTCAAACACATTATCTTCAAACATTTCTGAGTCGTTTTCGCTAACAAACTCAGTGAGTAACGTAAAACTTTCTATTTCTTTCTTACCAATGCAAATGATCCAAAAATCTAATTTTCTTTTAAAAGTAGTTATTTTATTATAGGCCTGAAACACTGTTGTCTGTTTACCTTGCAATGATAAATTTAATTCGTTAAGTTTTTGAAAGATATCCGCCATAAAAGACAATCGGAACAACCAAGTTTTATCATACAAACGGTCCTTCAAATTAAAAGAAGTATCTGCTGAAAGAAACATTTGTAACTCGGCTCTAAGTTCAAATAGCCTTGTTAAAGTTTTTCCCCGAGACAGCCATCGCACTTCTGTATGGAGCAGCAGTGTTTTATGTTTGCTGCCATAATCTTCACACAATAATGAGAACAATCGGGATTGTAGTGGTCGTGATTTGATAAAATTAATTATTTTTACCGCTTCATCCATAACTAATTTTAGATTAGACGGCATTTGCTTCATCGCAAGTGCTTGTCTATGCAGAATACAATGACTGGAACTACAATTAGGCGCTTTATTTTTCATTCGTGACACTGCTCCTGCTGTTTTACCTGTCATCGCCTTGGCCCCATCTGTACAAATGTCAATGCAATTGTTCCAACTGAGATTATGTTCTTCAAAAAATATATTTATTTTATTAAAAATTTCTTCCCCGGTAGTGTTTGTAAGCAGCGATGAACACATAAGCATGTCTTCTTCAAAAGAACTTTTATATGGATATCTCACAATAACCAGCAGGATAGCCAAACCAGCGACATCAGTCGACTCGTCCATTTGCAAAGCGAATCGTGTATTTTGTAGACGTGTAACTAGTTCTTGTTTGACGTAGCTTGCCAGATCATGGATTCGTCGTGAAACAGTATCGTTTGATAGCGGAACAGTAGAAAGATGCTTTGCAGATTTTTCATCAAGCATACATTTTGTTATGTCTAATACACATGGTTTTATTAATTTCTCAGCGATAGTGTGCGCTTCACCTGCTTGTGCAATGCGATAGCTAACTAAGTATGATGCCTCCGTGGCCTTTTCGTTGGTAGTTTGTATTACATGCATCATATTTTTTTGACTTTCTAATAACTGATCTTTTTTGCGAACAAAAAATTCTTTATTCTTGTCTTTAGTCTCGGGGTGTACGGTTTCTAAATGTCGACGCAATTTGGCAGGTGCCATGGAACTATTAGGAAGCAGTTTACTACAGAGCATGCAGAGAGGTGAGCCGTTGGAATCAACAAATCCGAAACTGATATAAGATTCATCATACTTCCTTTTTTTCGTCTTTGAAACCGTCGAGCTTGACGTCGTGGCACTCGTGGCATCATCTTCTGGATCGGTGATTGCTAAATTCTCCGCGCGCATTGCTTTTGAACATTCAGCGTCATTAGAAGATGTTGTTGGAACACGTTTAACACCTTTAAGCCAACGTTCCATTCTTCTTTATTTATAATGTTACAAGTCAGGATAGTGGGGTTTAAATAATGCACAATCGTTACTGCGTATAAGAGACTAAATTTAGAACCTACAGGGAAGAAATGTATAAAACTGAGACAACAGAATACAGCAGGCAGTAAAACAATGAACACCAGTTTCTCGCTAGCGAGCTTGTAAGTAGGTAGTAACTTATCGCTCCGAACGCTAATCATCAACTGACGACGCCAACGCGCGATCGCCGCTTTTATACTTAGTCCTAGACTCGATCTCAAATATTCTCGAAAATACTCGAGTCGGCACCTTTGATAAACAAAAAGCAAAAATAAAAACAGAAATTTAAAAATAGCGTTGTAAACAATATCGACTTTATCCTTTGAAGTTAGAGACGAAAGTCGCTAGTTGACAACTATAGCGTCTAATTCAGAGGCGGCTTTTATCAAAGAGACTGAGCGCTTACAAGTATACTACCCGCTCGTTTTAAGTTTGCCGCTGGCGATAGGTATGAGTGTATGACGTTCGAAATTTTTTATTTAATTGTAACAATAAAAATTGTGTACGTTAGATATTTGGGTAAAACTATGACACATTATAAGTTTTGTTGTCACGTGGGGGAGGGTACGCGCATTCCACAGACCGGCAAACTTAGAGCGAACGCGTTGTACAAGTATAAAATTGTTGAGACCAAACTTATGAGATATTGTACCAGCTAATGTAACACAAGCTTATACAAATACAAATAAATAAATAAATAACATTCATAGCGTTTTGTCTCCGCGCGGCCGCGGAGTCCGCACAGCCGCGGAGCGACCAGAGAGAGGTGTTTTGATTTTTTTATTTCTAAATTCTTGCGGAACCCCGACAGAGGTATCACGGAACCCTAGGGTTCCGCGGAACACACTTAGAGTATAGCTGGTATAAACTAATATACATTTTAAATGGAACAGTATAAACTTAATACTGTTACATTTAAAATGTATTTATAGGGAATCTAATAATAATCAGTAGCCAACTTTAATATGTTTATTATTATGGCTTAAACCATTTAAGACGATCCACTCTTATTACATTCAATCGCATGTAACAGAGAATAAGACTTTACATAATGTATAAAAATAGGACTGTGCGAGTCCTGACATGACTCGGAAATGCACATAGAATCAGAAATGAATGCACAAATCAAACACTCTTTCCTCCCACTGCCAAAATGCAATGACAAACTATATGTGCCCCACTCGTTAAAGCTATACACAATTTTTGAAATTGCACATGATTTTGAATTTATATGCAAACCTACTAACAATCTATTATAATATTATCACCTGTGTTCTGTCAATTACATGTGGTTAAATTGTATAAATTGTAATGAGGCATCAAATAAATAGAAATACAGATTACAGATAAAAAAAATATTTAGAACCAGTAAAATGGGCAACATATGGAAACAATATACACAATTAATGGTTTGGTCTAAAAATCTGTACACTAACAATCAATCGACAGATTTGGTAATAAATAAATTTCTATACAATCTCACTTAAAAAACACAGTCACTACATAAGTCTATTTGAATCGATGCGCTTAGCTTATCACATAGATAAAAACACAGCACTATTTTGTCACTTACACTTTATATTTTCTTTATTAAGATCAGTGTTCACGGAAAGAGATCTCCTAACAATTATTTACAATAAAATTACAAGTATGTACAGTGTTTTCTTCGAGAGTTTAGGTTGGGGGGATTTCTTCGATCATAGTCTCTGATAGACCTCGCGCTCGTCGTAATAATAGAAATTGGCCGTAACCGCGCCACTATTCGGGGTAAGTGTTCACGGTCCGGAACGATATTCTTCTTTGAGAATTTACGTTGGATGAGCGCAACGATTTACAGACTTTTCGATAGACATCGATTCGTAATCCCGCTCGTCGTATTAATAGTCAGATTGGCCGTAACCACGCTACGCTTCGGGGTAATATACACGGGTGGGAACGATGTGCTTCTTTGAGTTTACGTTGGAGGTGCGCGTCGATCATAGTCTCTCCGATAGACCTCGCGCTCGTAATCTCGCTCGTCGTATTGATAGTCAGATTGGCCATAACCCCGCCACTCCTCGGGGTAAGTGCGGACGGGCGGGAACCCCATGCCGCTGACCATCGCTGCGCTCTCATAGTAGCCCCCGTAAGGGCCTGCCATCGCGCCGAATCCCCCGTACCTGCTGTTTTAAATTGCTTGTTTTAATTACATTTTCATTATCCAAGTGTAAGAACAAAATATTATAGATCTACTACTTCTACAACAAAGAATAAGAAAGTACCTAATTTTGATGAAACAAAAGTTTCATTAACTAGTAAAAAAAGGAGCACAATAAAATCTTCAGTGGATTGAAATGTTGGTGAACTTTAATCATAAAAAATAAAACAGTCCGGCAATTTTACACTGAAAAAAATAATAATTCATAAATCCAAAGAAAATTTTCAGTATAAAAAATGCAAATCTGTTTCAGGCAGGTTTCAGGCAGGATGCAGAACTTTCAATTTATCCGTATAAATCTATCTATACTTATAATAAATCTGTAGAGAGGTCAATTCTGTACATGAAATATATTTTCAAAATAACTATCAGGGGGTGATTAGTGATCGATACTGATGCCAAAAATGCAATCAGTAAAAATTTTGTCTGTCTGTCTGTCTGTGTGTATGTTTCTTATAGAAACAAAAACTACTCGACGGATTTTAACGAAACTTGGTACAATTATTCTTCATACTCCTGGGCAGGTTATAGTATACTTTTCATCACGCTACAATCAATAGGAGCAGAGTAGTGAAGGGAAATGTTGGGAAAACCTGAGAAGTTACTCCATTTGTTCAGCTCCCGTCGCGTGTGCAGCCTTAATGGTTAAAGTTACATAGAAATTATGTATGACGGAAATATTCTACATAAAATTGTCTAAAAAATATCCCGCAACAGCATAATGTCTATCTTTTATGGTTGACTCACAATAACACGTGTAACTCCTGATAGCTTAGCAGTTCGGAGCATTCCGATTATATAACGTAAATATGAGAATTTTAGTTTGATTATTATAAATACAGGTAATAAAAATTACCGTTTTTATCTATATATGTATATAAAAGTCAAAGGGGACTGACTGACATAGTGATCTATCAACGCACAGCCCAAACCACTGGACGGATCGGGCTGAAATTTGGCATGCAGGTAGATGTATGACGTAGGCATCCGCTAAGAAAGGATTTTGATCAATTCTACGCCCAAGGGGATAAAATAGGGAATGAAAGTTTGTATGAAACTTTGTCAATTTTAAACCAATCGGGCTGACACTTTGCATGCAGGTATAAGAAGAATCATAGATGAATGTCATTGTGTTTAATACAAGCCTGAGAAAAAAAACTATAGTGTACACTTCAGCTCTAAACCGAAGCGAAGCGAGGGCGGGCCGCTAGTTTATAATAAAAATCTAAAAAAACAATTAATTTATACAACTGGCAAAGTAGAAAATAAATATATTCTTCAATTGATTAAAAAATACACGATATTAGACTTTGAATAGTCATGTTTTGACCAAAATGTTTAAGGAAAGTGCCAATAACTTTAATATTGTATCACATAGTAGTTCAAGTTTTTACCGCGTATAGAAATTTAAATTAGTCTTACCTTCTCTTATCGTGCGGCCTGGTGTTCCGATCGCCCCGGTACTGCCTGGGACCCGGGTACGCGGGCGCTGTCCACGCCGGGTGCGCGGAATGTTCCGGATGCAGCGCAGTAGCGGCATGGGGCATCGTATAAGGCGCGCGAATACGCTGCTGGCCCACGCCTCCGCTATCGCGCCGCGTCCGCGAACGATCCCTATCACGATCGCGATCTCTTTCCCGATCACGATCACGGTCCCGATCACGATCTCTTTCCCGGTCGCGATCACGCTCGCGGTCGCGCTCCGAACGTCGATCTCTGCACATCAAATCGTCCTGCTTCACCCCGCTATCTCTATCCTTGCGATCCTTGTGTTTGTGCTTATGTCTGCTGGGATGGAATCGACATGGTGAACATACATGGGATGTAAGCAACAATGCTAATATTTAAGTCCGGTCTCCAGCGCGTGTTTTGTTCTACACAATCAACAAAAACATATTAACATTCAACAAAAACGTATTAACGTTCAACAAAACTTTAGTTTCCCTACACATGTTTCTTTACATTAACAATGTTTTTGCTTTTCAAACCCAATGGAAAACACGTAGACAAATCACCCCGCGCGGGTCGAGGGGCAGGGTATTGGACCATTGGCCATTTTTGACAACTCCCAAGCGTTCCAAGCCTACGCTCCAACTGCTACTTTCACCCTGACCTTTAAATTTTGACATTAAAATTTATGAAACATGTCAAATTTGACTTTTGTAGCACCTGGATCGTATGTTTGGAACGCAGACCTGAGTTTTTTGTGTACGATAGCAACGTGAGCAGTATACGGCACGTATAAAAAAATGTTTCAGAAACAAAGTTTTGTATATGCGTTTTTGTGGAATGTTTTCTAAAATATTTTGCTGGAGACCTGGCTTTAGACAAAGAGAAAGGACAAACGTTCCCTGACCGGAAGCAACGTAAAACCGAGCAGATTAGTATGATGCTCTCCCACACCTGCGCGACGAAGCTTTGGTACTGAATGCGCTAAATTAGCGTTCGAAATTTTGAATTGAGTATGTTTCTTCAGCTGCACAATTACACATACAAATTAATCGTCTCCCACAACCTCTTTTAAACCACCCGCAGGTGTAGAAGCATAAGAATTGTTTTTGTCTGTTTCTAGTGTCCATTCTCTACGTCTATGGATAAAACTAAAGTTTAACTAATGATAAAAAGCAGGCGAGAAATGAAATGGATTTGTGAATGTGTCGGTGTTGAGCGATGGACAGACGATATTTATAATAATAAATATTAATTTGACAGGAGACATGTAAATACAACATTGTTTTAAAAATGTAAATTTACCTCTCGTGACGTTTGTTCTCGCTCGGCTCTGGATCGCACTCCCCTTCTTCCAACTTTCGTTTTACTCCCGTAGTATTAGGTGTCTTATCATTTGTTTTACTGTCTGTTGTTCGATCTCTGTCAAGCTTGGGTTTCTTTTCCTTCTTTTTGTCTTCACTTACTTCCTCACGTTTGTGGTCCTTTTTATTGGTCTTCACATGATTGTTAGCATTGTGGTTGTTCTTATTATTAACCTGTAATATTAAAATAAGTCTTTTGGCTAAAACGTTTACTAAAGCTAATTAATAAATTATAATTAGTATCTATTTACCTTGGCATTTTCTTTGTGTTTTTTTGTAACTTTCTGTTTGCCTTCACTCTTCTTCAGTCCATATTTGTATAATTTATACAATTGCTTGGCATCAAAATTTGTGAATTTTGAAACAAAGTACCAGAGATTACTTCTCCATTCTACTTTTTTCTCAGGATCTGGATATGCTTCTAAGCATATATCTATTTGGTTTCCTATTTGTGTAAGACACGTTCGAGTTCTCGTTACCTGCTCTGTTTCTGACAAAGTCTGGTCAGGATTATCAAGTGCTCTTAGAGCCTTTTTAACGGGTCTCATTTTTTCTTTACACTGAAAGAAAAGAATACATAAAGACATTCACTAAGATTGCAATAATAACTGAAAGTTCACATCTACATATATCAAAAAAAATAATTACTTCTTCAAAGACTGATGGATCCAAATCACCAAGAACCTCAAGTGCCCGTGGTTCATTATTTGCTGTAAAATGCATGGGGCCATCAGGTTTTTTACGACCTTTCACTTTATCTGATTTACTCCTATCTTTACCATCTTTCTTTGTACGTTTCTTGAGATTTTCCTTTCTATCATTTGAAGTTTCATCATGCGTTGATATATCATCTAATTTTAATTTACTCTGAAATCAGAAAATATCAAGTATAGCTATAAATTAAAAAAATAATTATAGTAATAATAGAAAGTAATCTGCAAATATTCTACCTTATTGTCAGTTTTGGCTGCTGCCTTATTATTAGATTTTTTGTTCTCATCTCCAGAGCTGATATCATCTTCAACAATATCTTTTGTAACAGGTTCTTTAGCTCCACGTTTCATTCGGGGCTTTCTTTGTTTTTGTTTACCATTCTTCTGATCTAGTAACTTCTTAATTAATTTTAACAAATAATCTGCCCTAGATTGCAAATGCTTAGCCTGAGGTTTCTTTTCTTCGTTTGTTAGTATTTTATCACCTATTTCAAAGGAAGAGTCCATTTTAATAGCCTCCCAGGAACCCATACCATATTGATAAATGCCAGCGAGTAACTTGGAATCATCGGCGACACCCCATTCGCAATCGAAGTTTGCAGGTCTTGTTCTGTAATAATCAGATATTACAAATCAAATATCATGTCAATTGAAAACGTATAGGAAGGTACAAGGGTACAAGCAGCAAAGGGTAATGTCAGTTATTACCTGAAATCTAACTGCCATTTTAACCTTTCTTCTTTGGTTTGCGGCAAGAATTCGTCTAAAGGTGCTAACTCATCTAAGCAAGCCGACAAAGTCTTAGCATTAACAGGTACACCACCAAGCTTAAAGCTTTTTCTCACATTCTTACGACCATCATTTTGTTCGCCTGTAATAATAAAAACCATTTGTAATTGATTTACATTATAAAGAACACATTTATAATTGATTTAGACAGACTTTATTAGTAAACCTTAATAAAACTTACTTGTTTTTTCTGCAGTCTCATTAAGCATAGCTTTACATCTTTCTTCTAAGATTTCGCCTAGTTTTTTCAATTCGTTTAATGGTTTTTCTTGAAGTTCTGCATCACATGCTATGCTATCGAGATGTTTCAAAGGTGCAGAAAATTTTTTGTAACTTTTAACGAACTTGCGAATCTGGAAGAACTCGTGAGATTTAGTACGGAAAGTTCAACAACCTTAAAAACAACCTTCAAGGATAAACCATTTTTATAGATAAAAAAAAATGGGTGCGTGTACTTATGTAGGCGCGTGAGAAGTTATCCTTCTTTGGCATCGTTTAAAATTGGTTTTTAATTGCATGCAAATAATTAATTACAATTAATTAATAAAAAGTCTGGAAAAGGACACAGTCAATAAAGTTCAGTTTTAATTTGAAAAAATAATTAAATAATCAAAATATTCAATTAAAATAGCTACTGAATATAATTTATTAGAACATATGTGATGTGCACTTGTATGAAATTCAAACACGTATTCCGAATATACAAACTAGAAACATGTGGATAAATATTATAAATATGAATACCTATAACTGTTACTTTATTACAAAAAATAAAGATGTGGTTTTTGGTTCTACTACACCAATGGTCAAGAGATGGCGCTGTAGTCTCCTGAATCGCGCTAGGTTCCGTTGTTCCAGATTAATAAATACTTTTGATAGGCCTTCACAATGCAGTCGTTAGCACCCACTAAATAGCGATTCTATTTCTATTTTGTTGGTAGATTTTCTTAATGTGCGGTAAACACAAAAGTAACGCATGAAGTTGGTCGCTAAAGCGACCAACTTCATGCTGTTAAAATTTTGTGTTACAGTGATGCGCGCGCATCTTAAAATTTCACTCTCATCATTTTTTCATAACGCGCCTAAAGAAGTATAACTTCAACAAGCTTCTTTTAAGTTAGTCAAATGGACAATCCAGAAAATTTAACAGTTTGTAGTAACTTTATAACTGTGTGGCTATCTGTATATAAAACAAATCCCATTAAACCAATTTGTGTATTTTAACCTGGGTATTGGCAGATTAGTCACGCAATGTGATGCAGCCATATCCACCAATATTTTTACTAAATTTAATACACAAATTTTTATTCTAACACGTCTAGCCCTAAAGTAACCACTGTAACGGCACGATTACACTTGGCCGTTAGCCCGAATACGACTGCTAATGGAATTTGGGTAAATGACTAAGTGTCAATGAACGGAATCGAGTACAGCTAGGATTCCTTTTGTTTGCTCGACACCCTCTTCCAGCCGGTATTCCAGTGTAAATATTCGAGTAATGTTTTCTGTGCACCCAAATACGGGCTAACGACGAAATGTAATTGCGGCTTAAGGCTTGTGTTATGGGATGATAGTTTAAAACATTGGCCCAACCAGGATTCGAACCCGAACTCCGAGTTGGCAACACTTTGAAGACCAGGTCATCATAATTTTTATATGTAGTTCGATTCAACCTTAATGGCCGTCCTGGGGGCCATTCGCCTATCGGAAATGCTTTGGAAAACGCTAATGCTTACGATTTCATTTAATTATTTCTGACCGCCGAAGGTTTTCAAATACCTCACGCTTATTTTCTTTAATATTGTTATTAACAATGCAAAAGAAAAAAAAGAGCGCGAGGCATTTGAAAACCTCAGGCGTCTAGAAATAACAAAATGAAATCGTAAGCGTTAGCGTTATCCAAAGCATTTCCGTTAGGCGAATGGCCCCCTGGGGCGGCCGTCGTCTGCGCTCGCTCTCCGCGTCGCCCTGTGATTACATCGCGTCACAACTATACCTCTTGGTCGGTGAAGACCTCGATCTTTTCCCGGTGCGAGGCGAGCGGGCGACCCCGCTTCCTAGGGCGGTCGTCGTCGACGCTCGCTCTCCGCGTCGCCCTGTGATCACATCGCGTCACAACTATACCTCTTGATCGGTGAAGATCTTGATCTTCTCCCGGTGCGAGGCGGGCGGGCGGCCCGGCTTCCTAGGGCGGCCGTCGTCGGCGCTCGCTCTCCGCGTCGCCCTGTGATCACATCGCGGCACAACTATACCTCTTGGTCAGTGAAGCCTTTGATCTTCTCCCGGTGCGAGGCGGGCGGGCGGCCCCGCTTCCTGGGGCGGTCGTCGTCGGCGCTCGCGTCTCCGTCCGAGGCATCGCTCTCCGCGTCACCCTCGCCGTCCGCGCCATCGCCGTCGCCCTCGCCCGACCCACGACCGCGCCGTTTGCGGCCTCCCTCTGAATCAATAAACAAATATGTTAGATATCTTAATCGGACCCCTGTTTGTCATACCCATAGACATAGAAAATGGACTGAGCATTCCCTACGTAACAGTAAAGTAAATCTGGAAATATATTAAAAAGCGATGAAGAAGCCAATATAATTAATAATTCGGTTGGGTGTTGACTGGTACCTGGTAGGTCAATATCTGTATCTATAGAGTTGTGAATATCATGCAAGTGTCACTCAGTCCATTCTCTATGACTATGGTGGTAACCTATATTTTTGAAGTATGAATGTTATAGAGGTAGTGGCGTATCGTTTATGTCATTTTATAAAAGAATTCTATTTCTTTCCCTCAAAAATTTCGAATGTCAGTAAATTCTTTGTATTTAGTTTATGGCATTTTGCACCAATTCATTCATGCTTAAAAATCCTATATGCATATAATATGTGGTATGAATATAAGTGCAGACAAAAGAATGAAACATTAGGCATGCTGTGGACTAAGAGATGATACAATTAAAAATGGAGTATAGTCTAGTGAGCATGACTACTAAATAAAAATTATTAGATTTACATGGAGATTATTAAATTGTTAATTCTTACATGGACAACAACATTTAATTATGTAACTCACTTGCATCTGTATTTTGTTGTAAATTCTTCCTCCTTGGTGGTAAGTACAAGTCTTCCATCTCTTTGTTCTTCTCCTCTTCCGCAATAGTTTTTCGGACGTTTTCAGGAATTATATCGTCCTATAATAGGAATAAAATTGAAGTTTAATAATCAACTGGCTTCTTTATAACTTTTTTTTTTCACATAACTTACCCAATCTTTGCTCTCTTCTTCAGCATTCTCTTTTTTGACTTCCATTACTGCTTTGTCTTCATCAAAGGCGAAACTGGCTACTTTGAAAGCAGACAACAACTCATCACCTGCCATAGTAGGACCTTCATCACGGGTTTCTGCACGTTGCAAAATTTCATCAATATCACACTACAACAAAAAATATAACAAGTTATGCTCAATTAATATTCATTATAGCAGTATTACTGAAATAAGAATCAATACATACGACAGGATCCTCATCATTTTCATCATCATCTTTAAATAATTCTTCAGCACCAAATTTCAATATTGCATTTAAATCTTCTTTATTGAATGGGTTATTGGCCGTAGTCGCAGAGGCCTCACGTTTATTGAGCACTGTTCTCCCAGTGGTATCCATTCTCTGTATCACAAGATGATCTAACACCATCTTTCTTTTCGCCCTTTCCACTATGTCCTCTTCGACAGATCTTGCTGTGACTAATCGGTAAATGTTAACCTGGATAGAAAAACAAATAAATATTTGGTGCTTAGTAAAAAGAATTATCTGCTAAAACAATAAAGACAATAAAAAAATTAAGGTCTTACCTGATTTTTTTGCCCTATTCTATGTGCGCGAGCCTGAGCTTGTAAATCATTTTGTGGATTCCAATCAGAATCAAAAATGATGACAGTATCTGCTGTTGCCAAATTGATTCCGAGTCCACCAGCTCTCGTCGACAACAAAAAACAAAAATCTTGAGAACCTTCAGCATTAAAATGATCTAGAGCTTGCTTTCTAATTTCGCCTTTTATACTGCCATCGAGTCGTTGGAATGGAAAATGTCTTCTCTGTAAGTATTCTGCCAGTATGTCTAACATTCTCACCATCTGTGAGAAAATAAGTACTCTGTGGCCTGTCTCTTTTAGCCTACAGAGAAGTTTATCTAACAGTAGTAATTTTCCTGAGCCTCTTAATAGTTTCTGAAATTACAATAGAATAAACATTATAATATACATAAGTAAACTGTTGGCTACCTTGTTACAGCCTAAAAACAAATCATTTACCTCCACAGCATCGGTAGTTGCAAGTGAAGCTCTAGATTCAAAATCTTCAGGCTTTGTCAAAAGTGCATGGTTACAACATTTTTTTAATTCTATCACAATATTTATAAATGTATTTATAGAGCCCTTAACGCCTTTCCGTAAGGCACTATAATTTTTTGTTAATATCCATTTATAGTACTGTTTTTGTATTGATGTCATTTCTACCCTTAATATTTGTTCAACTTTTGCAGGTAATGACTTTTCTACATCTTTCTTTTGCCTTCTTAATATGAAAGGTTCTAATTGTTTATGTAATTTTTCATATCCCTTTGTAGCAGCATCTTCGTGATCTTTTTCAAACTCCTCCCAAGTCTCAAATCTACAACATGAGGTATTTATTATACATAAGTAAAGATGTGCATAAAAGTTAAAATTCCAAAATGGACAACATAAAGGTTAATACTCACTTATAAGGCATTATGAAATGTAAAAGGGCCCATAACTCTTTCAATGAATTTTGTAAAGGGGTACCAGTTACTAACAGTCTATGATTTGTTTCAAACTCTTTAAGAGCCTTGTATAACAATGAGTCGTCATTTTTTAATCTATGAGCTTCATCTACCAATAGGCATGCCCAACTAAATGACCTAAGGAATTGTCTATCTTTTAGCAAAATTTCATATGTTGTCAAAATGGCATTAAATTTTAGCCTCTTTGAACTAGCAAAACTCCATTCAAACTGTCGGATCTGTGAATAAAAGTTAGCTTTAGAAATAGAAAGTAAAATAATAAAAAAACTATTTAGTAATAAATATGGTACACTCACAATGTCTCTACTTGTTACATCACCTATATATGTAACAACATTTATATCAGGAGCCCACTGTTGGAATTCTCTCTGCCAAGCAGTCATTGTACTCAAAGGCACAACACAAAGGAATGGTCCATAAAGTTGTTGTGATTTAAAGAGGTAGTATAAAAAACATATTGTCTGAAAAAAAAACAAGAAAAAGTTCTACCACTGTACCAAACTTAAAACTTGATAAAAACATACACAAACCACAAATAGATATATAACAAATATTAACCTGTATAGTTTTCCCCAAACCCATTTCATCGGCAAGAATAACAGAATTATCTTTACACCAGGAATGTATTAACCAGTTCAAACCATCCATTTGGTAATCTCTCAAAAAATAAGTCTGAAAAATAATATAATTTTAGTCATAAATTCAATATACTGTTGTTCTTATAATATATATCGACTGTATTGCAAGTACACATTATGTACTAATCATGATAAAACATAAATATTGAAGTCCAATCCCATACATTTTTTTTAAGTTACAACATACAACTAAATACATAAAAGAATATATTTATTAACAAAATAATAACTATAAGTATGTAGCCACAACTTAACGATTGCATCAACAAATCTTTAAAAAAGTATTTATAGCATGTCTACTTTATAAGTCTGCATTATAATATAATAATCGAAGTTTTCTCATATATATGTACCAGTCCATGATTACGCAGCATATTTTTTATACTTCTATTAAAAAATATATTAAAATGTCATAAGAACTTAATAATTTTCAGTCATTGCACAGTTCTTTTCATCAAAGCATAATATCTTACTTCAGTATGACTAGAAATAAAAAAAGCAATTTTTATGTCTTTAAATTTATTTATAATTTGATTTCATTTCTAAATGAATAATAATAAATCATTTTATAAATAAAATGAGTCAAATCCTTCTGTATTGCATCATCTTCATCACTGCTTTATAAGAGTAAAGCAATGTCATCAGTACTGACTGCACAAGCAAGGCCTTAATAAGCAGTTTAACAACACGCTAACAGATGGCGGTAGTGCTGCTTATGACGACGCCATTTTAAGAAGAAGAAATACAAATTGAAAATATATGTAGAAACATTAACCAATATTTATGTCCACTTTTCTCATAAAAAATGCAATTATTTACTAAGTTTAACATTATAATAAGATATTTTATTTCCATTACAGTTTTGCATTATTCTCCTTTTTATTATAATGATTTCATATTTATAACCAAATCCTGGACTGGGAGTAAACAAGGATAAATCAAATTCTATCTTCCATGTCTATATCAATATGCAGAAATGCAATGAAAATTGTAAGCAATGGATTGAAAACATATTACTTTAATTTCCAAATTTATTTACAACTAGCAGATCCAACAGACATTGTCATGCCTGATGAATATATATATAAAACATCCTAAAGCCCGACTGCAACACCACTTATCGGGTATAGCTTCTTCAGTCTCTAATTTTATATTCTGCACAACTCTCTTAATTAATCTTTCTGTTAAGTTTTCTTTATAGAAGGTTCTTCTTCTAATAAGTATTAGAAAACTTTAGACAAAAGATAGATGTTTTCATTTAAATCATTCAAGTGAAATGTGTTCAAGGGAATAAGAGAAAGTATTTTAGTATATACCTTGCCAGATGCTCGGTCAACAACATGAAAATAATTTCTTACTCACCTCATCTTTTCCCATATATTCAGGTTGCTCTTTAACCGGATGGAACTTGGGTCTTCTTCTTAATACAGGACAATGCCTGGAAGGTGTTGTTTTAGCAGCTTCTCTATGTTTGAAATGCTCTACTTCTGCAGGCCACCTCCTCTCTATCAAAGAAGAATCTTCCCATGTTGCATCAGCATATGGTAATGATTCCCATTTGCAAAAATACTCATGTGCTGTAGCCCCACTTTCCAATTCACGAGTTTGCTCAGCTGAAGATAAAATAATTTTCAAATCTTTATATATTATAAAAAATAAAGTAAAAGCCTTAATTGAAGCTACCAGTATTTAGAAAATGATTAAAAATGTGAAAATTTTAGTTATGAATGTAGCATGTAGCGATGTAACGAATGTTATTTTTTGAACATTCGCGAAGGCGAATGCGGATGCGAATGTCTGGTACCGACATTCGCAATTGCGAATGCGAATATTTAGTTTTTTTTTAAATTGGCGCCAATTTTCTATGGCATGGTGGCAGTCTCGTTCGAATTGCCGAGTTGATATGAACTCATCCGACTGAAGTGTCATTCCACTCGCACTGGTCTTTCCGTAAACAAAACAAGTGAATTTTGAGGTTAGAGTTTGAATAGTGATTTATTAACATGGGCAAATCGAATTCTAGTGAAACATGGACTTATTTCACACTTTGCGATGCTGAACAAGCTAAATGCAAGCTGTGTAACAATGAATATTCAAGGAAAGGCAGAACTACAACTTCTTCAAATTGTTTTTTTCTAATATTCATATTCGCAAAACATTGATAGATTTTGCGAATGCGAATATTCAAAAATATGCGAATATTCGCGAATACGAATGCGGATGCGAATATTCGTTACATCACTAGTAGCATGTCAAGTGACACGAGGCCTCCCACCAGCCTCTACAGGATATCTAGGTAAATGATGTTCATATCTTTGAAGTTTTTATTATTTATATATTACATCTATATAACAAATGAACTGGTGTGTGCACAAAACTTCAGAAAGACTGCAGCAAATACATAATTAATTAGATTTTTTTAATGGTATGCAATTGGAGAAACATTTAATCTTGTTGCATTCCCTAAATGAAATTTGGATAGAATTAATTTAATAAGTAATAATTGAGTTATATTCTTACCTATTATTCTCTCCACATTATTATATGTTTTAACCAATTCTTGTTGTAATTCAGACTGACACTCAAAGTAATCAATATCTTCAGGTCCTGCTTGTGATCTCCACCAAGACAGTTCAGCTTCTTTCTTAATGTAATTCTCTAATTTCTTAAGTCCTTTGACTTTTTGTTCATTGAGTGATGCCTCTGATTCCCATGTATTATGTATATGTGACCACCCTTTCCATTTAATCAGGTACTGAGGTTCTGTGGTTTCATCATCATCTGGATTGCATCCTTCATTAGGATCTCCATTTTCTTCTATATAGTAAACGGTAGTCACATTCCCAGTGACTGCATAATGAGAAGAAGACATTAGCTAAAATTCAATATATATTTGCACCAAAATGCAAACTTAAGAGTAAAATCAAAAATAAAATACATGTATGTAATAATAATATTTGATTTTCCTTCAAAACCATTATATATTTCCACATTCTTGATCTGGATGAAAGAATTTGCAAAATAAATCAATTTTTTGCCAACCCTGTTTCCAAAACAATTGGTGAAATAATTATGTACCTCCTTTTTTCCCCCTTCGGTGTCCAAGAACTTTCTCAATAGTCTCACTGTGGTCTTCTGGTTCCGGTTCAACATCACCTTCACCTTCGACTTCCAAAAGATCAGACGAATCAGTTTGTTCATCACTTGCTTCTTTATAACTAACAGCAGCACCAGTGCGTCGTGTAGCTGTTCTACTACAATAATTTAAAATGTATCATGTAAACTTTAAAATATTGATGGTTTATATTATTAATAACACTAAAATTATAGATCAATCATCTGCAATTTCCTTCAATCATACTAAAACAGCTCAATGAATCTACAACACAGGCTGTAATGCCTGTGCAGTAGATTATCCAGATAACCCATCCTAGGAATAACCATATTCCAGTATAAAGGTGCTGTCTAACAAAAATTAAAATTAATTTACAAGGTAAATATAGAAATCTCATACACTTAGTGATGACATAATGAAGCTGTACTCACTGAGTCGATTCTTTGTGGACTGGACATATATTTACTTCCTGATAATATTTTTTATTTGCGTACATGACACAAACAGTCAACATTGTTCAAATCCGATATCAAAGTGTAGTGAGATTTCTATTTATCTCATAGCATGTATAGAGCTGCTAAATTTCAAACATTAAAGTTTTCATACGTTTGGCCGCCAGCCACACCTGCGACAATACAGGCTGTCGGACAGCAACTTTTAGACTGATTTTATAACTACTCTGATGATCACAAAGAGTCTCAGAAAAAATGGTATATTTTAAAATATACCTCTTAGCGTCTTCATCTGAAGCTTCTGTAGATTCATCTTCTTCACTAGTAAATCTTCTTCGTCTTGCAGGTTTCTTTTTTCTGAGAGGTATACTTCTTTGGCCTGGTCTTTTTGAAGGAGGAGGTGGGGAACCATTCATGTCACTCTCACTATCAGATGTGTTTGAATTCCAGGAATCACTAGAAAAGTAATGTAATTTAAATATTCTTTACCAATAATATTGCATGATATGGGGATAAAAGAAAAGGATAAATACCTTTTTTTCCTGCTCTTTCTGTTATGTGGCCTCCCTCGCTCACTTGAATCACTGTCTGCGAGTTTAAGTCTATCTGGTTCTTTCCTAGACCGGCCAGATCTTCGGATTCCATATATATCAGGATTATCTTCCCACAGGTCTGACTTAACTCTACCATGACTAGCTCTAGATCTGGGTTTTGATGGTGAATCATCATCTGAGGTATCCTTGTCAGTGTGATGATCAGATTTTGATGAATTGGCATTACTGTGTTTTGGTGAAGACTTTGTATCATCACTATGATGTGATCTGTCAGCAATATAAGATTTTTCAGATCCTGACCTACCTCCAGACCCAGATCCTGAAGAACTAGATCCACTTTCACTGCAAAAGTAAGGAAATACTGATAAAAGTCTAAATACATTTTAAAAGTATATCTACATTTAATGGAACTCCTAAAATACCTTTCACTCCCTGAACCGGAACCACTCGAGTTGCCCTTTTCACTAGCTGACTCACTTCCAGATTCATGCATAAATCCTTTCTAAAATAAGATAAAATAGTTTTTAACATTAATGATCATAGTACAAACTATTAAAAACCTATCCTTAAAAGATCTACTATCATTTATCAATCCTCATCAAATACTGTAACAATACTTTCTAGTAAACACTCATTGTAAGATTGTCTAAGATAGCGGTTAACCAATGTTTGAAACAAAATATAGTCACAAAATCAATTTTTTCCATAAATTTAAAAATCAATTAGTATGTTTATTCAATCATGAATTGGAAAATTTTGATAATTTATAAAACCATGTATAATATAAAACAATATTCCAACAAAGTATTATCTCCCTGTATGCCTCTACTGATATTCCGAGTAAAAAAATACCATGCACTCATTTTAAAGAGCATTTTTGTTTTCTTTTCCAAGAAAAGCAAAGATAAAACTGTATAATAACAAATGTTTTATTTAAATAACATTGGCCAATAAAAAAATAGTATAACCTAAATAAATAAAATACATTTTTACTTAATTTAGCACTAAATTCACTGTAAATCAGCCAAATATGTGTGGTCTCACAAAGAACATTAAATAATTAATACTAAGCAATATACCTGTTATTCCTAACTATTAATGATACAAGAAACAGTCACATAACCTCAATATCATGTGTCCTCAATGGTTAGAGCAGTTTTCAAAGCTAAATTGCAAAAATGGGTCCCTTTCCGAAAATCATTTTCATGACCTCTATAGAAAGATTACGTAATCAAGAAACATTTTAAATGGTTTTTAACTTGGGACAATAGTATTTTCATACATAAATTTACGAATTTATATTGTAAACAATCACAGAAACACCGAAATTCAGTATTACGTCTCAAATATTCCCCCTTTTCCACGGCCACACCCAGCAAGTCTAGATAATTCTCCGCAAATTGTAGATCACGAAACCAACTAAAAGTAAACAAAAATACCAAAACAATATTGAATAATGCTTTAAAAACACTTACCTGGAGCATTTTGTAGTTAATTCAAGGAACACACTGTTACATGAAGAATGAAGAAGAAAAAATCGCAAAAATTTAATATTTCAACGGGAAAAAGTTATAAAAATCATTCTGTGCAACAATTTTTAATGTATTATTTATGTACACCAATAAAATCCAAAATAAATTTGCAGGAAAATCTTGTCAAGCGACGCCATTTTGTCGTCGCATGAATTTGGTGACGATGGAAATGAAAAACTGATATTTTCCCGATACAAACTAATATTAAAAGATGATAAAAAGTAACGTTATCCACTAAAAAAATAAAAAGTGAAACTTTGAAGCCGTCGGAAATACTACGATGTATTGGAAACGATACGAGCACCGCGAACTAGCAGCGAAACTCGGAAGCTACAGCCATATTGCCGAATGCCAGCTGCCTATCATTAGAAATAGGGATGTCTGTTTAGTATACTACTTTATCGACAATGCAATACAATGATTTCAATTCAGGCAAAAAAATGGTTTGAAATACCAATCATGAATTTTTCATCTAATTTAGTCGTTATAATTAGTAAACAACAAATTAATAGAAGATTCAAAAAATATTTATGTACTATACTATATATTGATGATTTAAACAAAAAAAACTTGACTTTTTAAAGGTCTACAGCCTTTTGAAGTCTTTTTTTAGCCAACTGTCACACTGCTTCCGGGCCCAGCATAAAACAGAGGCTTAAATTTTTATCAACAACATTTAATTTAGATAACTCTGACTGACAAGGATGTCGTTTACGGAATGATACTCCTAACCTAATAACATACAATTACATTTGACAACAAGGTATCGAGACTAATATTAAATTTAGTTTTAAATTTAGACAATCATGCCAGAATCAACACCACTATATAAATTAACGTATATTATGAACTTGCTAGGTATGCTTATAAAGAAAAAAATTAGTATACTCAGACGTTTTTGCAAAAATCATTACAAAACGCTAAGGTAGTTTCGCTTAAATGTACGTACGGATACAAACTTGATATAGGAATTTGATTGAGATATTTGTATATTAGACGTGACAGATTTTGCCGTCTTTGTCATATTTTTAACCTTATATTATTTTAAGTTTTGCCTATACAATAAGGATTACACTATTAGTTCACTAACTTTTTTCTTAATGTCCAGTTTGCGTTACAACTACGAATTTAAAAATGGTTTCACATGGTTTTATCTATATGATGATCTTTCACATTGAAAACAAACAAATTTCAAAGATCTTTGATTTATTAATACAGTTACCTTGTTATTAGAAGATCCTTAGTACAAAAACGCATTCCCTTTATAAAAACTCGTCTGTTTTGATACTTTTAAGCAAATTATCGCGTAAGGGGGTCAGGAATCAATTTGTTCGAAAGTACTGAAAGCCAATTTGATTTCACGGCCACTATAAGTTAATTTTCTCACAAATATTTCAATTCTAGGATTGTACTTTACTTATTTGTATGCAGTTAAAATATTCTTGGAAACAAACTTGTTAATTTCTGAACAATCATCTGCATTGAGCTATCGTCGAAGGTTGTTGTTGTTAGATTAGGTTTACATAAAGGGTAGACTAATAATGATTGGCCCTTCAAGCGGAATTCTTCATTCCTCTATAGTAAATGCTTAATATAAATAAGTATTAAAAAAATCAATAGCATAGCATAGAATGTTACCCCAAAAGTTAGATTTTTTTTTTACTTTAGTTGAAACTTTAAAATAATGTCAAATGAAACATTAAGATAAAGAAAAACGTGTTTACAAACACTTATCACGTGATGGCTGCCTTATGCATGGTGCGAACCGGTAACGGTAAAACATGTTTTTTTTTCAAATGCCAAATCCAATTTTTAATGAAGATTGAAGAAATACCATCAAAGAATAATAAAAAATACTGTATTCAGTATTTTACTTGTAATTTTCTTTATATTTATGTATAACTAGCGGCCCGCCCTCGCTTCGCTTCGGTGTAGAGCTGAAGTGTAGACTACAGTTTTTGTTATCAGGCTTGTATTATACACAATGACATTCATTTATGATTCTTCTTATACCTGCATGCAAAATCTCAGCCCGATCGGTTTAAAATTGACAAAGTTTCATACAAACTTTCATTCCCTATTTTATCCCCTTGGGGGTAGAATTGATCAAAATCCTTTCTTAGCGGATGCCTACGTCATAACATCTACCTGTATGCCAAATTTCAGCACGATCCGTCCAGTAGTTTGGGCTGTGCGTTGATAGATCAATATGTCAGTCAATCAGTCACCTTTGTGTTTTATATATATAGATGCGATCCATACAAACAAAACTTATGCATATAACCCAAAGTTACTCTATGATACAGCCGCTGTTTACTTCTGACTAGCCCAAAGTATCGATATAGAAGTATAATCCATCACTGTATTTTACATTTGTCTTTGGGAAGTTTCTTCAAAAATAAAATTTTGTTTGTCTATGGTCAGTACGTCAGTTCCTTTAAAATGAATTTTATTGATTATCATCGATCTACGATTTTTCATTCAAATGGATTAATTATGAATTAATATTTAGACCATATACCAATTGAAATGGCATAAGCGGGAGAACCCCTTTTGGCAAAGTACGTGGTCACTCTGACCATGTACGTTAAATGAAACTATATTGCTCACTCGCGACCGCCTCATTATAGAGCGTTCCGCAACGCGAGTCGGAGCACCCACAAAATGGTAAGTTATGTTGTTTTCTCACGCAAAAACGGATCTGCCACTTCAATCCTGCTGAAACATGGTGTTTCCTGTCAAATACACTTGTATTTGACAGGAAACACCATGTTTCAGTTTCACCAGAATTCTAACTTTTTTGAACTTAAAAATACTTATTTTTAAGTTCAAAAAAGTTAGAATTCTGGTTTTTATTTCAATTGAAAGAAAAGACGTGAAATAACGAATGAATGACAGAAGTAATAGGTAGGAATTCATAGTGATGTGATTAAAAATGAATGAAATGAATGAATGAACGGTATTTTTAATACTGAAAATCATAAGTGAATCTGCCGATACAAATAGCAAGTTGATAAAATAAACATAAATCGAAAGATTTTATAATAAAAACAATCATTCAATCATTCACGATCTAAAACTTAACCAAACAAAGGTATCAATTCTTGCATGATTCTCTTAGCTTAAACCTGAAGGACATGGCTAAAAAACTACCCAACGTGTATAAATATTTCGCACTAGCCCGTAACTTTACAATATTTTTTTATTAATTATTACGTGTTTACTATTCTCATAGAACTTTTGTGAAATAATCAAATATTCAAAAGTATAAAAATTGACTTCATGTCTGTTTAAAAAGCAAAATGTTCCGTTTTACAAAATAAATGAACAATAAATGTACACAAAAAATATTTATGTAAGTATATCCAAATTAACAATGTTATTTCTAAACTACTTCAAACTATGACATATTTGGCCCTAATTTTTTATCAAAACCAATCACTGAAGGCCTAAAATAATAGATTATTATTCTGATCAGGCTTGAGACAAGGCTGTATGATAATTAATCCTTTAATTTTTGCAAATGAACAAAATAAAACGTCACAGGTTTCAAGGTTGATGACTCTGTAAATAATTGGCAATATCTTTTATCAACTGTAGAAAGGTAATGACATAGTAGAAGTTATCATAATTTTCAAGATTGTGATTTTATCAAAAGTTTCTGGGCCATTTTTCATAGAAATTATAAATATTCAGCCATTTACCATAAAATATTACTAAGTACAGTATTTATACATTGCCAGGGCAGTCGCTCATACAAAACTTTACCATGTCCTTTAACAGTGGTTTCTCTTTTAATTGAGCAATAACTACACAGCATTACGTACAAATTATTACATTTTATTATGTAATATTATAATGAAAGTATTCTAAGATAACAATCTAATTACATAATTACTATATATCACACTAATATTATAAAGGCGAAAGTTTGTGAGTATGTGAGTGTGTATGTTTGTTACTTCTTCACGTCTAAACGGCTGGAGCGATTTTTATAAAATTTGGTATGGAGTTAGCTAACACCCTAGATTAACACATAGGCTACTTTTATCCCGCAAAAATGTTAGGTTCCAGAGGGATTTTTAAGAAACTAAGTTAATGCAGACGAAGTCGCGGGCGACCTCTAGTAATATATATATACTAAAACACTAAAACTAAAACCATAAAAAAACAAAATTAATAACTAAAATATATTATTAATAGGAATCCCTTTAGGCAAGGATCCGAAGACACTGGCAGCGTTACCTCTTTGAATGGCTAGACTAAATAGCCTTAAAGCACTAGGACCACTCGGACCAAAGGTCTCGACACCAAACGGGACAAAATCTTCTCTTTTTCATTCTGTGTAAAGGATGACAAGGATACACTGTTGTCAAATTTAAGTTTAGAGAACGCTACTATATTCGACCTCAAATCTTTGTTTTGACGTTGAAGAATGATAATAGTGTCGATTTTGGCGTGATTCTCCTAACTTAAAACTGAATTTGCATCAGTCTCTCCTTTCCATGCTGTATAGAGAATGATAAGGATACACTGTTGTCAAAGAGTTTAGATTTAGAGAATCGTTGTAGAACCTACTTTCTCTATTTTGGGGCATACACAGTTATAACGATAATTACCACAACTATGGATCTTTATTTCGAGATTGGGTTGTGTTCGATCACTCATTAAAAAGCATATATAATTGTCGTAGTGTTAAGGGTAAGACGATATTGTTTGAGCGAATTAGCCACCGTGATCATACTGGTTTTTGCTATGCGATACGTTTCTGCCCATGATTTTCCAGTAAACATTATAGCAGTATCTTCAGCATATGAAAAAACTTTAGGTTAGTAATTTTGAAATTACATAAATAATTTATGTATATTAAAAATAGTGTAGGTCCCAATATACCACCACCATAATCTCTAGTTCCTCACTGATACAGTCATCGATTTTTACTCTTTGTTTACGTCCTGTTAAGTAATCAACAAGCAATTGAAGTTGCTTGCCTCTTACACCATCATATTCTAGTATTTTAAAAGGGTAGGTACTGTAATGGTGTCAAATGCCTTTTTTTGGTCTAAAAAGACGGTCAAGCATTTTTTCCACTTGTCTTGGTTTTCCACCATCTCAGAGGTTAGGGCTAGAATTGCATCTTGCGTACATTTCCCCTGCCTAAATCCAAATTGCAAGTCTGATAATATGTTGAATTTATTAAGTTATTGTGTCAACCTAATATTTATTAACTTTTCTAGAATTTTATAGATAGATGATAATACAGATATTGGTCTATAACTATTAACGTCCCGTTTACTACTACTTTTATAAATTGGTGTGATAATAGATTGCTTTACATAGAAGGGAAGACCCCTTTAGAGAAACAAAGGTTAGCCAAATAGCAAATAACTGGAATAAACATACCTTTATCTTTATACCCCGCTTGAACGGTTACAAGCATTTTTTTTCAATGTGTTTCATTTTTGTACCTGTTATCAGCAATATTTGACGCATGAAACAAGTTTTTAAATCAGATGGATATCAAAATGAAGGGTTTTAAAAGACAGAATTTTTTAATTTGAATATACCCCCTTTTTTACTTACACAATCACGACAAATCAAATGATACCTCGCATGACAAGAATTCTGGCTGTA